TTTTTATGCATTTTATTCTGTAACAGTTGCGCAAAACGCATACTTTCGCGACTCTGTTCGTGTGTGTGTTTGTGTGTGTGTGTGTGTGTGTAAGTAAGTAAGTTTTGTTCCGGGTTTTCAACTCAAGGACCAGAAAAGCTTGGAAACTGAAATTTCAAACGGATATTTCGTGCCTCTGCGTGATCTCAAAAATTTAAATTCAGCTTCTGTATTCGCCTAGGTTTCACATTTGAGCAAATGAAATTTTGGACGACCAGAATGTAGCGGCGATTTCTGCATATATTAAGCAGTAAAGTAGTAAACATTTTCACCAGCAAGCGTCAGTTGGACAGAGCTGCACAAAACTCACGATTGCACCAGCCACCATGAATGCATAGTTGTCTGTTATTCTTAAAATACAGTGAAACTTGGAGAATATTCAGGATGCTCTATCGAATTCATTGGGAGAATAAAGGGGAACATGGACTTCAAGAAACTTAAGCAGGATCATTGTGGAAATGAGATTCCAGCCAGTTGGTGAGGTAAATGGCCAACACTGCGTTTAGTGATGAGTGGAGGAAAGCATTACTGGAGGGGAAGTAGTTCAGGGTTAGCACTGTCCAGACAGTGCCAGGATCTCAGCCCCCAGTGGTGGGAATTCTATTCGAAGGGTCTGTGTAATCGTAGTACTAAATTTCTGATGAGCCGCAGACCATGTTTCGGTGCTTGAAAATATTCTCAACTTTTAGGTGTTTGAGGAAATGCGTCGTCGTGCAGAAGAATATGAAAAGATGCGGCGCGAAGAGGAGGAGCGCTACTGGAAGTTTTATCAGAGGGAAAGGGAACGCTACAATCGGCGACACGAAATGCCGCCGAGGCCAAGTGTTAAAATTGCTATTGACAGGTTAGTCTTGCTAATACGACCTGCTGAAATTTCATTTTCAGTAAATTTAATATTGCGGGATTAATCCATTTTATATATGTTGATTACTGCTTTGTGTATTCCGGGTTAAAATAGCTTTTGCGCGAAAACTAAAACGAAGTCTTGTGTGGGGCGGTTGTGTTGCTAAATCCGATCCGATATTTTTTTCTTGTCCCGTCCTGAATTTTGTTTTTTTTTTTTTTTTTTTTTTTT